ATTAGATATTCAATTGGATAGCTTGGGGTGAGTTACAAAGTTCGAGAATTTTTTTTTCGAACTTTGTGTTTATTCAATGATGCTCTTACACCCTACCCATTTTGAAATTTAAGGGACAAGAATGATTATGTTCTCCATGTATAAAAGATAAGATGTATCTTTATAAACAATCTCATATATATAAATTATGAAACAATTTATCTATGTTACAAAGAGATAAAAATTCCTTCTAGTAATCAAATGTCAAATTGGATGGTTTAGGATATGTCACAAACATTAAGAAATTTTACTTTGAGTCTAGTCAGTAACACACTCACAAGTACCTGATTTGAAACGGACAAAGACGATTGTGATATCCTAGAACTAAAAGTAAAGTGTGGGAAAGAGTTTGGTAAGGGTCTTTAACCCCTTAAATGATAATTTTTCCCTAACTATTTAAAAAAGGGTGAGGTTTGTATAAGGTGTCAACCTTATTCTATTTAAGTAAAATGGACCTCAAAACTATGCGGAAAATGCAATTTCAGCATTGTAAAGTCCTGTGATATGAAAATTTAGTGATGTCCCCAATTATGAAATTAAAGTTCCACAACTGGTGACGATCAAGCAGATCTATGAATACTTGAAAATCTTAAAAATAGACAATCTAGATAATGTGTTAGTAGATGATTTTTTTTTAGGACTAAAAATCACCTTGTTTTTCATATTAATGAGTTTTGAGGTCGAGATGATTGATTTGAAGGTTTAACAACCTAAGAAAAAACCTCATTTATAAAAATTTTGGACGCGCCTTACTTATACAATATAAAGTTGACAACTTGTGTGAAGTTTTTGGTAAAAAAAGAACCTAGCAAGCCAACATTAGTTGATGCATTTTCAAGTCCTCATTTGACGTGGCATAGTAGATGTTCTTGGCATGACAGTGGGCACATTTTATGTTTTCTCTTTTTTATTTATTTTTATGTGGGAATGGAGATTGGGACATAAATGACAGTAATCCTAATCATAAAAGAACTCAAGGCACAATCATGGGCTGCTAAAATGGAACCAAAGGTTGTCTGACACTCAGCTTGTTCTTGTTTTGTAGGGTCCATGGCTTATTGGGCTTAGGACCTTGCAGTTTTCGTTCCACCCTATGAGATTTCCATTTTAAAATCTAAGGATGCTATTGTTGTTTATGTTATAGCATAGCATAATAATAATAATAATAATAACAAGGGTGTGGTTTTTATAAAGTTACAATTTTAAACAATCCACGCACCTTCAAATTTTATCATGACATGTAATTTTGGTAAAAAAAATTTTAGAATTATCTCAAAATCTATTTTTATATTTAATTACAAAATTTTAAACTCAAAAAATGGTTAAAATCAAGTAGATCTATAAACATGAAAATCTTGAAAATCGATGGTCTAGATAATGTATTGCAAGTTGCATTATTTTTAGGGCTCAAAATCTTTTTTTTTTTTTTTCATACTCATATATCTTGATGTCGAGATGATAAATTAGATGTTTTTTCAACATTAAAATAATATTTTTCGATAGATTTTTGAGGTGTATCTATAATTCTGCATTTTAATGTTGCTACTTTATATAAACTTTCTCCTAAAAAACAGTTGTCTTAATAAGTGAAATTAAGATTATGTGAGTGATCATATGATTTATGAATAATTATTTTCAAAGATATCCAACCATCTGATTTAGATTAAACATTAGAGTGCTCTCGCAATAATATTGTATATTAATTACAACCTAACTAACAAACACAATCGATAAAAATAGTATATTAATTACAACCTAACTAACAAACACAATCGATAAAAAGAGTCACGGTTATTAAGACCATATTGGACCGATGACCGTTATATCGGCAGATCTGATTTAAGATAATGATTAGGTTTAACTGAAATCTGTCAAAATTAATGTTTGATTAATTTTAATGGGTCATACCAACGGTATAAACCCATTTTACCAGCTAAATAAAACTTGAAAAAAAAAAAAAAGTACAGTTTATATTTGTTGGAAAGAAGTTAAAAATGTAAAAAAGGAAAGATTGGACGTAGAGAGAGAAGGTAAATGGTATGATGTAGAGAGAGTGAGAAGAGATTGCAAAAACTCCACGTGCCGAATGGTCCAGACAAGAGATAGGGTTCGATATTCAAAATAATGGAGTTGTATATACTGCCCTAAGTAAGCTGCCATGCAGACGCGGTTAGAGAGAGAAGATAATAAATGGTGATAAGCACAAGAGTCCTGGACCATGTGGGGTGGCCGGTCTTTTTTATAAACGTACGTACGCGTTAGAGAGAGAAAGAGAGTACAGGGTGAGGTTTGTATAAGGTGTTATTTAGAGAGAGAGAGAGAGAGAGAGAGAGTAGTATGTACAATAACAAAAGTGTTAATGCTGTGGAGGAGAGAGAAAGAGAGGTTCATTGTATAATGGAGTGGGTTTGGAAGTTACTTGGAGGATGCTATATTTAATGCCATCAGCTGCTGGGTTTTCTTCACCTTTTTATTTAATGGAGGGAAAGGGAGTGGGGAAAGCAACTTGCATTCTCTCTCTCTCTCTCTTTCAATCCCCCATTTCTTCTTCCCATTCCTTACCCTCTGCAATTCCAATCCTATAACCCATCTTTAATTTAACCTCGATCCCCATTCTTTCTCCCTCTAAAATCTCTCTCTCTCTTTCTCTGAACTCTCTCTCTAAAGAAGAGAAGCAAGCAACAGTGGAGGGAGGAAATGGTGTAGCAATTTGATCACACAAAGAGGGAAGAAGTGGTATTTTTGCGATGGATGTTTGTTCTTCAAAACCTTCTTTGCAGACCCATGATCAAGAAATTCAAGCTTCCAGACCTCACTCAAAGGATCCAAAACCAGAGTTGCAGATTCCCAAATCAGAGTTGCTAAAGGCTGCCAAACCAGAGCTACAGGCTGCAGAATCAGAGTTATACACTGCAAATCCAGAGTTACAGGCTGCAAAGCTTGAATTATACATTAAGCCTGAGTTATACAGTGCAGGGCCAGAGTTGCTGTCTGCAAAACCAGAATCCAGTCCTTCATCAAAGAGAAGGTGGGTTTTTTTTTTTTTTTCTTGTGCTATTTTCTTGAATTTCAATTTCATCTTTCTTTCTTTTCTTTGCGCTTGAATAAGTTTCATGAAGTTGTGTTGGGTCTTGGATTCTTGATATTGCTTTGTCATCTTGTTTTCTGGATTTTATTGGGACTGGGTGGATGCCATATGTTTTTTGTTGTTTTTTTTAACTTTGAACTAATAAGAACTTGAGATTGATTCTCTCTCTCCAGGAAAGTGGCTCCAAAGACAGTAGTGACAGTGAGAATAGCAGCAGCAGCAGCTGGGAGCCAAAAGGGGGACTGTCCTCCTTCAGATTTCTGGTCATGGAGGAAATATGGACAAAAACCAATCAAAGGTTCTCCTTATCCTAGGTATACTTTGTTCCCATATCTTTTCTAACGCTATTTCCTTCTATTTTATTCCCTTCCTTTTGTATTTTCTCTCCCTAGGTCTCAGTATCTTCAAAACAGCACTAATCACAAGAACCACCTCTTTAGTTTCTCTTCTCTCTTAATCTCATTCTGCCTTTGGTCTATCTTAGTTTTAGAGATTTAAAAAAGATAATCAATTGGGCTTTGGTCTCCTGCTAAAATGCATTTTCTTTCATTGATTATCAAAATTAAAGGAAACCCAACACTGTTTTCTCTCTCGAACCTTAAGAATTGCTTTTAGAGAGAGATTAACAATGAATAAGATTTATGCTTTTTTTTTGCAGGGGTTACTATAGATGTAGCACAGCAAAGGGGTGTTTAGCCAAGAAGCAAGTAGAGAGATGCAGAACTGATGCTTCTATGCTCATAATTACCTACTCCTCTACACATAACCATCCATTGCCTTCTCAACAAGCCACAAATCCACCATTAAAGAAACCCCAAGAAAATTTAGCCCGAAACCCAGTTCCGGTATCCCCCAATTTGGCCAAAACCCTAGAGAGCCAGACAGTGGGTGAAGCCCCCATTGATGATTTCTTCTCGTTTCAGTCACCCATGAGAAGCCCTGAGGACTTGAATCAGGAAAACCCATCGCCATTGACTGAGGAGCCTGTGTTTGAAGAGCCCTTATCTTATCCTCATATAATGGCCTTCTCAGAACCCAAAACAGAGGAGGGCAATGAGTTCTTTGATGAGCTTGAGGAGCTCCCCATTTCCTCATCTTTTGCAGGTCCCATGAGGAATAGTTTCTTCGATGAAAGGATACTCATTCTCCCTTCTTAACACACCATGCCAAAGCTCTCTCTCTCTCACTAATGGAAATGGATCAAGGAGTATGCAAGTCTGGGTATCTCTATATATATGCTTAATGGAAATGGATCACTGAGCAAGAATGTCTTGGTACTATGGCCATTTACCCTCCTCCTCTCTATTTCTAACTTCATTAATGCACCACCTTTATTGATGGAAATCGAGCTAGGAGTATGAAACTCTGGGTAGCTTTATTAATGGAAATGGAACTAAAACTATGAAACTGTGTATGGTCTTACAACCCCCTCTCGCTCTTTTTGGGTGATCTCTCCCTCCCCAACTTTAATGCACTAAATTCATTAATGGAAATGGGCTAGGAGTATGAAACTGTGTATAGTTTACAATCTCTCCCCCTCGGAATTCTGTGATCCCTCTCTCTTCTCAATTCAGTGATGCTCTAAATTCTGAATTCACAAAGCATGGATGACTTTTTACCACGTCTCCCTCCCTAAGTTTTAATGGAAGTGTTAAAAGAGTACGAAAGAGCGGCTCTTTTTATCCCGGAATAGATGAATACGGTAATGGAGATACTTCTTTATGCAGTTGATGTCAATTTAAAGAAGGCACGAGATTCATGCCTCTCCTCCATTTATTATTATTACAATAAAGTTGATGGAAGGCCTACATAAAAAGAGAGAGAAGCAATGCTTTAGAGATTGTTACAGATATTCTGCCATGTAAAAAAGCTTGAAAGCTTTTTGTGAGTGGCCCATGTAATGAAGACAATCTAGGTGATTCATATTGCCACTGCCCATTTTCCTGATGCCACCGAAAAACATGGTCATAATCCTTACTGAGAAGTTTCTTTTGCTCTAACCTGAGAAATCTTTTTGTTTCCGAATATTGTCTGTACATATGTATATTTGGAGATCCGCGTATTCAATCTTTATATGAAAGCTAGGAGTCAGTTGATGGTAATATTATATTGTGATTTCAATTGAGCTAATTATGTTCTGATTGCGTGATATTATTGTCAATTTACTATCAATCAAATCAAAATTAAGCAAATGGTGTTTCAAATACATATAAATTATGAATGGAGATACATAGGAATCATCTATATGTATAAAAAGTAAGAGTACCAATAACAATCTCCTTCCTAAATTTATATTATGATAATATCAATGTTGGTCTTATCATATCAATGCATGGTTTTGCTCAATGTTGGATGAATTACTATTATGGAGCACCGCAGGTCCCAAATTAGTTATGATAATGAGAAGACATTATTCTGTAAAAAGAAATCCTTTTACATAATTAAACAATTCAAAAAATGACCAATCCCTTTGCATGTTTGGCCTTTCTAGAGAAGATCCAGGCACCAAACTTTCCTAGGATGATCTACATAAGAGAGAGAGAGAGAGATGCATCTGATGTGTGTTTTTTGTTGCCTTTGTTTTTCTAGAGAGAGAGAATCACATTTCTGGAACTTGTTTTGTTTCTTTTTCTCTTGGTGTTCCCTTTTGGTTTTCTTTTAGTGGGTTGCATCACTTTACTGTCAGTTTGGATACAAACATTATGGTGTGGGGCATGTCAGTAAAGAGTTAAAAAGAATCACATACATTCCCCCATGGCTGCTTCTCTCCACATACGGCCAACTTTCTTTCTTATCCAATGCCTGGTAGTTGTAGCCCACCAATTATTGCCACAAACTGGCTCTTATCCAAGGTTTGCTAGTGCAAGCCCACCGATTATTGCCACAATTTGCACATTTTTTGTGTTCTAGGAGGGCTATGCACATGTTTCTCTAGGGGGAGTTGTCAATGGGCCCGAGCCTCAGTCCCACTTGCACTCTTCATAAAAAAAAACCAAGGAGCAAAGAAAGTGAAATTATTCTTCTTCTAAGTCTTAAGTACCAAAAGTAGATCTAATAAAGTAAAAAAATATAATTTTTATCAGAGATTTGGATGATATTTGCAGACTCAATTCAGACCATTCTAGGTGGAGGCCCAGACTTGGCCCAACCCTAGCCCACCGGGGGCCTGAGCATTATAAGCCCAACAGGCTCACCAGCCAATGCAACCAATTGTAAACATATCTCTAAAGAAATGTTACGATATTGTAAATATTGTTGCCTTGCTTTCTACTTTCAGGCTGAGGCAGATGCAGTGGTTTGAGGGAATCTGAGTGGGTCCTCCTCCATATTAACTTGGTAGGTTAGTAAAGATTTGATACTCCAAAACGTGAGGCCTATAATAATGGTAGGGAGACGCGCTGATGGCATTTGTGTTTGTCTTTTCACTGCACGATATTTATTACTATGATGTTTATTACAGTAATGTTTCGACTCTTTCACACCTAAAAGGGCGTATTTTTATTAGGGTAGCAGCTCAATGATAGTTGGTGAAGCAGCATCTCGAAACTTACCAAAAAAATGCAATTCTAGTGCTAAAAGCTCTATTTTCGCCTCTGGCTATAGTATTTGACCTTGCAAAAATTGTACGAGTCTTAGCCTTTTATAAATATTTGAAAATGGATGATCTATAAAACATGTTATAAGATAGATTATTTTTAGGGTTTGAAATTCTTTGTTCGTAGATCTATAGCTCTCGTTATTGGAATGAAATCATTTATAGATTTTTTAACCCTAGACTTAAAAATGGATGATCTATAAAGCATGATATAAGATGGATTCTTTTTAACGCTTAAAAGTTATAAGACGACAATTTTTAAAAACTTAAAATTCTTTATTGATAGAGCCATAATTGTCGATATTGAGATGAAATCATTTATAATTTTTTTATCCCTGGACCTCACTTTTTTCAGTGAGATTTGAAGAGTGGCTTTATAAGGCCTCCGTCCGTACAAGATGCTATCCCAACATTAAATGACGAAATGACCAAGTCCACAAAGTCATTGCGCCCATCTGCCTCAAAACTTAAAATCTTTCAAAGCATGCTTACCCCTTCTCGTGACTAATTAAACAGACCTTTGGTTTTTTAAAACAAGGGGTGCGGTTTGTTTAGAGCCTAGGCTCTAAACAATCAAATTAGGCCTTATCTTTTTATAAAAAATGTAGTTTCAATACTGAAAATCTTTGTGATAGCTTTAAAATATATTTTTCATTTTTATTTATAAAATTTAATGCTTCAAAAATGGTGTAGATCAATAGATTTATGAAAACTTGAAAATTGACGGTCCAAAAGTACATTACAAAATATATTATTTCCAATACTTGAAATCCATTTTGTTCTCATGTCCATACATCTTGATGTGAAGATGATCAATTTGAGGATATTTGAACATCAAAACAATCTCTTCTAATGAAATTTTGAGGTAAGCTTTAATTTGATTGTTTAAAGCCTCGGCTCTATATAAACTTATCTTTTTTAAGAACCCAATTTGGGTTTCTACATGCACGCATATGTAGAAACGAGGGCTTATTAATAAATCTATTTTTGAGATAGATTTTTGAACTTATTTTTAAGAACATGGAATATCTAACATGAAAATCATGAATATGAAAAATAAGTAAATTTTAAAAACTAAAAATAATAATTCTAGTAAAAAAACATTTGGACCGCTAGTCTCCATTGTTTTTAGATGGAATACCTACTTGCATCCATCTTTAAGATGGATGCTTCAGACTTTTTGGACCGCCTATGTAATCATGCGGTCCAGTCCGAATGAAACAATTTTCCTTAAAAAAAAACCCACCCTAAGGAATTATTTATGTAGGAAAATATGGCTAAACAAGCAAACAATACTGTGGAACTGTTGAAACCTTTCACTTCCTTACCAGCAATGGCTAAGTGGCAATATGCCAAAACTTGGATAGATATCTGAACTGGCAAACAGCTCGAGCAACTTCGATCACAAAATAAATTGCAAAAAAATAGATGATGCCATGTGCAAATAGATGTGGAGAGAGAGAGAGAGAGAGAGAGAGCATAAAACGAAAAGATCAGAAAAAGCAACAGATTTCCACAAATGTATATGCATGAAACTAGAAGGTGCAAAGCTGCGAATGTGCAGAGAGGGGCACACAAAAGAAAACATCAACAGTGAGATTGTTATAGAACTAGGAAACGAAAAAAACCATTAAAAAAGTGAAAAATAAGAGAGTAGAAAGGTTGGCAATCCAAACAGATTAAAGAACACTCACTGGTTTAAGCATCATGTTACTGTTGAATCCTAGAGTTCTGGTTTAAGCATTCATGTTCCTTTTCAATCCTAGAGTTCAAACACTAAAAATGTTACAAAATCACATATCGAAAATGTTATTAGCCTTTGCTTCTGTCTAGAATAAAGTAACATTCACACAATTTCCCCTTGAATACAGGATTAATGGGTAGTTTCACCCCAAGTGAAGATCACGCTATTTGAGTACTAATTGACTTCCTTTATACAGTGGGGAAAAAGCAGCAGTTTCTCATAAACTGAGAATAACTGAGTGAACAAAGCCCAGGCAAAAGATCATGGTGATTCTTCTGCAGGCGCAGCTGGTAGGGGCTGGAGAGCTTTGAGAGGATTCAAGATAATGCCATCAATAAGACCATAATCTTTTGCTTCCTTGGCGCTCATGAAGAAGTCTCGGTCAGTGTCCTGGTTTATCTTGTCAAGGCTTTGCCCAGTATGGTATGACAGGTACCCGTTAAGATTCGCCTTGTGATGTAGCATCTCATTGGCCTGTAATGTACCCGAAGTATAACAATGGTTGAGAGATTAGAGACAGACAATGTAAACTAAGTACACAACCACGTTTGAGAGAGAGATACCTGGATGTCTATGTCAGTTTGCCCACCCTGAGCTCCACCAAGAGGCTGATGAATCATGATCCTAGAGTTGGGCAAGCTGTATCGTTTCCCTTTGTTGGGTTAAAGGAAAGAAAAAAGACCAGGATCAGCCAATAAATCACCCATAATATTTGGCACAGTATTGAGTTTTTGTGATATGATGTACCGTAAAATGTTCATCACACCTCACCTTTTGTGCCGGAGCTAAGAATAAAGGCCCCCATGCTGGTCATCACAAAACAATCCATGATTACACAAACGAGTTAATGACGGGTTCTTTTCTGAGCAATAGGTATGCATTGAAATAGGATGAAGTAAATCTTATCCTGAACTCCTATCATGCAGTAGAAATCATGCAAGCAACAAGGATGTTCAATTCAATGCGCAAGGAATAACCATTAAAATGCAAATGAAAATCCCAAATGAGATTATCAATGATCTTTGCAGTCAAATAGTCATATGATACTCTTGTTGTAAGCAGCCACACTCAAGTGATCTGCCGCAGGGTGTTCTTAGAGAATCCGCTGTTTGGCATTACTTGGCAAGGATCAGATTATCTCAGCGAACCATTTACAGGACAAAGGCAGTAAATTTCTAAACAAAGTCGAACTAAGGCAGTCAATTTCTAAACAAAGACGATACAAAGTATACATTTTATAGTTGTATGGAGGAAATTGAAAAAGTATCATATAGTCCAAAACAATCCACAGGGGAAGTATGGCTTATGTCTGGGAGAGATATTTGGGGTTGCCTGGTAGAGTAAGCCCCAGGATGGCCAATGAGATGCATAGTTTTTGGACGGTTTAACGACGAGAAATAGAGAAACCTGAAACTGTGTTAAGAGTCCAAATCATAGAATCTCCTTCTCAAGCATCCCCTCCAAAGATACCTGGAAATTAGGAATAAGCTCAAAATCCCTTACTAATGAACTGTCTTGGAGTCGGAAGCCTTACTACTGCCAACTAAAGGTAATATCGGAGATAAGCTTCCTTGCTCATGCATCACAGAAAAAACTTATTGAGGAAGCCCAATTGTATCCAAGAACATCCTACCCAAAGCAAAAGACCAACTCACATAAATAATTAAAAAATTTATTGGGGATGGAACTTGGAAATGCGGTTTGCCACCAATGCATTGAACCCAGTAATCCCTGGTATATATTCAATTTGTTGGGGATGGAACTTGGAAATTCGTTTCTTAGGTTTCATGCAAGAACTTTGGTATACCAAGTCTTGGAAATGGTCCAAAGAGACATCTTCAGAGATTATGCAATAATGTTCCATGGATCCATTTGAATACATGGATCCAAATACTTTCAACCACTAAGGCCCCATCAAGGATTTAGAGAGCTTGTATAGAACCTCATAACATGGGAAACAGAAAAGCGGATGGGAACATCCTCTCCGCAAAGACCTTCACCTAAATCTTATTGAGAACTGCCAACCAAAATCACAAGCCAGAAACAATTAATGATTTCAACCATGAATTAGGAATATGTTCCCCTAATAATCTTTGCTCCTGCAAAGAACTCTTACAACCTCATCTACCATTGAAAATCTTACAATACTCTTCATGACAAAGAAGACGAGCACTATCGGACCTCTTCCTAATATTCCATGAAGTAGGAAAAAAGAGGAAATTTTTGAGAAAAAAACACAGCTATCTTTAAGTGGAGTCCTTATGACAGAAGAAACCAAGAACAACAGAAATACAGCTATTCAGATTCCCCATGCTAAACATCAGAACAATTTAAGGTTAATTGGAATGTAGGATAGCCACAAGGCGACAGGACAATGAGCAATCATAATTATAAAGTAACATCCTTATTCTGATACACATAGACAGCAAGCTCTAACTAAAATTGAAATTGGATTAATGATGTGATAATCAGACAAAAATAAAATAATCATAAGGTAGTTCAAATTTAACAAAATATGGCGAGTAAAGGCCTCTCACCTAGCAGCCAGGCCAACACAAACAGTGGATACATCAGGTCTGATATGTTTCATGGTATCAAATATGGCCATACCTAATATAAAAACATAAAAATCATAATATAAAATCAATTTTAACTTAAAAAAATTTAAGTTTAAATTTATCAATAAATTTGTAAATTTCATATCATAAATGGGTTCTTACCTGCCGTCACAGACCCTCCGGGAGAGTTGACATATATAACGATGTCCTGTGGAGCCACACATTCCATACATCAGCAGGTACATTATTCATGCAATGCTTTATGATAACTACCGACAGTTTTTTGAAGTCAAAGGTGAGCTAAAATAATTAAGCACTGCAACAATAAATATATTTTGACTTGGCTCATGATATACCCTAGCCAAGGAACAAAAATATGATAAAGCATGACAATGATATGGAGAGGAATCACTCTAGCGAAAGATCAGATAGGAAACTATTATTGTCACACTGAAATTGTCAGGCCCTCATATAACTATAATTGTCACACAAACCTTACGAAGGAGGAATGAGTATGTACCTAAGTCCTTCCTATAAAGCCTGCATGGCCGACACATCAGATCCTTTACTTATATCGCATACAACTAATATTGTCTAATTTTGCAGTTCCCTTTCAGGCCTATTATTTTCTAATACACCTTTTTTGGGTTCTTCTTCCAATGAGCAGTTTTTTTTCCTTGCGTTTTAGGTAGTTTATTTGATTTGACTGAAGAAGAAACTTGGCCCCCTTCACGCAAACCAGTTGTCACACCAGTAACCAATGTCACAGGCTTACCATTTCCATTTTTCCTTTTTGCCGTAAAGAAGAGCCCACAACCTATCAATCACATGGTTTTCCACTCACAGGGTATGGCCCTTGAACACTATATGGCAACTTAAGTCTTTCACATCTTACTATGCCATTATAAAGAAGCTTTAGTTGCATGTATAGTATCAATTACTCCAACATTCAAAAAATACATGAACATAACAATTAGCCAATAAGTCATTGACCTTGCTTGCCTCTCTTTTTTTTTGGGGGTAGATAAAGATACGTGTCGGGACTAACTGTGGAGCCACTCAGGCACTGCTTGCCTCTCATTGAACATGAGAGAACATATATGGTACTAGATATTAGCTGCACACAAGGACAAAAATGAGTTATCCTAGGCCATGTAATAACTTAAGGCAGTCTGCCTCAAACATTATAACAGCCCAATCATCAGTCCATGAGTCACCCTTTGAGATTCAACTCCAACATTAGAGGTGTGGCTATCCATGACACTTTACCAGACCCTTAGGTCTTCTGACTATAAGCCATCTGGCTTGCAATGCTGAAGGTCCACAAATCTCATCAATTGTCTACCTTGTCCTGCACAAACATCCACAAGTACATTGCCAACTTAAAAATTAAGAGGTCACTTGTCATGTGCACCGCCAAAGATAATGTAAGACAAAGGGACAAAGAATACCTGTCTTACGCTTATGATCTATGAGTTATCACGCTGATCATCTATGTCAAAGGAGCCAAAAACTTCATCTCCATCCACATATTTACGTAGCCATCCTAATAAGCTTTTTCCAAGAAGTAGATCCCTGCAATTTATTTATCTATAAAGAATTTAATGGACCACAAAGCCCTGTCAGTCCATAAGCTATAAGACTACCACCGTACTCTGCCTTCCACTTTCCTCTTTCCCTCCCATTTTATTGTCTCTCTGGTTTTGAGCAACCAATTGTTAAAAATCATGTCCGCAAAGACTGAGGATTTTTGAGGTTGAGAACCACCACATAACCAAGCTCCACTGACATTAGTCAGTACGACAATGCAACCCAGTCATCCCATTCATCGTAACCTTATAGGCCCAAGAATCGCCCAGTAAACTTCCATAGAACTCCAGAGTTCAGACAACTATGTTCTTATTGAACCCCAAATGTTCCATAAATATATCTGCACTACACTTCTTCTTCACTTTTTTCTTCTTTGACAATCTCATTACCAGTTAATAAAATGATCCTACCTCTAATACATTCTTCAGTCTTTGAAGTTGCACCCACCATTAAACCATTATAACCTAAAGCGACAATTTAAGCAGATTTTGAACCCCTGTTAGCTTTGGACAATATACCTTTACTCCTACCCCAAACTCTTTTGCAAGCTCTAAATGCCAATTTTTTTAGAAATCAGCAATTTCACCACAATGTTTGAACCATAAAGGTGATGAAAGTGGACACTAAGGTGAAAAACTGTAACATAGACATAGAAATTCTTTCACTTTTTGGGGAAGTATAAAATGAGACCATCTACCTTTGGCACAAGGTGGTCACAATTAATCTTGACCATTGGATGTGAAATTGGGTCGCTGCATTTATTTCATTGACTAAGCTCAAAGTTCAAAAGAAGTTTTCTCGAACTTTGTAACACATCCAAGCTATCAGATTTCACATCGGATGATTATAAGTAATTGTGACCACCCTATAACAAAGGTAAATGGTCTCACTGTACACAATCCCTTACTTTTTACAGCAAGCCTTCATGACATTAAGGTGAAGCAAAACAAACCACAAAATCGGTTGCAAGGATGATGGTGATGAACTTTGCTGAAAGCTGCTTTCACAATGTGTTTCATAAAAAACAAAGATGAAACTCATACATTAACAAATGAATGCATCCATCCTATTTATAACCATGAATCAAGACCGAGTTTCAAGGAATATAATAAATCTCAAAAAAACATCTTAAATGGTGATGAAAGCATGACAATTACATGCAAAGGAAGAGAGAAGATAAATATGGTCTGAGAGAGAGAGAGAGAGAGAGAGCAAACCTTGTAAGGATCGACGGCATCGAGATAGAGAAGTTGTGCAACAATAACATTTGCCATATCATCATCCACAGCTCCCCCACAACGAATTATCCTCTACATGCGCATTGTAAAAATACATATTTTAATGCTTATAAAAAAAAAAGCAAATATTTTTGGACATTATTCCGCAAAAGAAAAATATATTTTAATAGACATTTATGGCATCCACTTCCTAAAATATGGATCTGCAAGACAAAATGACTCAGAAGTACAATCTAATCGCTTACTATGTAACAAAACAATACAATGCACTTACATGCTGAAAAAGCTGACTGATAACGCTCTGGAATCGTTCTTGCACCATGGGTGGTGGCCCTTGACCAGCCTGGGCTATGGGGAAGTATGGGGATGAAGGAATATGCAAATCATCCCTAAAATAAAACAACCCAATAATTCACCATTAATTCAATGCGAATTGTAAGCTAAGAGAGTTGATGTATTAGAAATACAGCTGAATATGACCAATGAATTCGCTTAGAATTGCATGTTATGATAATTAGACAAATTGAAAATGAGAAAAGTGGATACCTTACAGACCATATGCCTTTACGAGAATCACATTCGGGGGTCCAATATCCCCCAGAATAAGTGGCTCTCGGAGAACTCAATATTTTCTTTTTACTGCAGATGGAATTTTGTTTTCTGCTGATTGATCAATCCCCACATTGTACAGGTCAAAACCCCACAAAAAAGAAGAAGGAAAGAAACAGAAACTGATTAAACTTCAGCTAGGAGCTTACAGGTTTATAGACAAAGCAAAGCATACTAACTGATTCAAACCAGCTCAAAGAAGCAAATTGACAAGTGGCAAATTGGGGAGTAAAACACTGATGGTTTAAGGTTGTAGAGCACAAATCAAACATTTGGACAAAGTTGTAGAGAACAAATCAAAATTTTGGACACATCTCTCTCTCTCTCTCTCTCTCTCTCTCTCTCTCTCTCTCTCTCTCTCTCTACTCTACTACTACTCTACTACTACTACTACTACGTCGTACTAC